CTCTTCTCGTCCGCCACCAATTAGGCATTGGTCACGTGACTTTTGACAGGTCCGCTGGGGGGCAAACAAAGCCTAGATCAGTATTTACACCGTTCTTTGAGATTGTGTTTCCGAATTTTTGCGTTCTTAAATTCTCTCAATAAGTTTAAAGTTGTTTTTGTGGTAGAATGGCTAACATTGACTATTATTCATCGTTAGCTAGTGATGTGAAATGTCGGTATGACCAAAAAATACAAATAATTGCCAATATAGATCCTTATAAACTTCTACCTAATGAGTTTACTTTAAGAATCAATGAGTTGCCAGAGGTTTCAATTTTGGATTTATCCGAATATTTGACCCACACCCACAGTTACTACACAGGCTTGCAGTTGAAGGCGTATATAAAGGGTTATTCAAGTTCTGCTGGACTACCTAAAAGGTATTAAAAGTAAATATTACTTGTAGAAACAAACCAATTTTTCAATATAAATGTGTTTTTGTATTTCAACAAGACAGTCATAATACTTACCATTAACAAAATGTTTTGAACAAATACGAGCATTTTTCAGAAACGATTCAGTTAAATCTCTCCTTTTGAGGCATTTAATCCACAGATTTCGTCGTTCCTTTTTTAGCTCGTTTAGACGATTCCCTAGATCTCTTAATGCTGCTGGGATCCTGAAAAACCTTTCTTTATCTCTTTCCGCTCTACTAGAGTACCTAACAACGCAGCAAATAGAAGGCATCTTCACAAAATAGATTGAAAATTCTTGGTTTAACATTGAATCAGGTTTATGAGGCGATTTTCAGCCTGGAATATTTATCGGTAAATACCGTGGTTATTCTTTTGGTTGACAACTTTGACAGCCAAGTGTTACGTCATAGCCCCCCACCATTCAAGAATCATAACCCAAGGAACTAATCGCTGAAATGATTTGGTTATAGCAATGTAGGAATATGTTTATTATTCTTATTTGTTTTTTCGTTTCAGCAATAGTTTTTTGTTTAGGTACAAAAAATGGAGCTGAATCTCTCGTTAGTCTCGTTTATCGAACAGATTTTCTTTGGGGATGATCTAAACCTCGATCTAAACATGGTGAATTGCAGTGAGTGAGTGAATGTATAGTTCTTTCATTGTGCCAGGCTACAACGCAACTGCAAAATCACAAAACACCAATACAAATTCCAAAAATAATAACAATAACATCAAAAAGCTGTAACCAAAAGATTAACCCAAGTCCAAAGCTGGGTTATAATCGGTTATAAATGGTAAATACCAAAAGCAAATCAGCTGATATGTGACGTCACAACTTCCCCTACTTTGGTTAAAACCGCGACGGCGGAAATGCATTGGTTATAACCAAATAATAATCATTCCAGGCTGAAAATCGCCTATGTTTGGCTTTTGTGTGCCCCCCAAACTAATATGGCGGATCGGTTATGACATTAACCTGGAATGCCTAATGAACTATTGGCGAAATTCCTATACCAATAGATGGCGCTAAATTACGCGAAAAATAGCAATATGTCTGCCGAACTCAGTGAATAACAAAGCCAGTTTTTTGAGGTTGGTTTTTGTTAAATTGTGTTTTATGGTGTTTTTGTGATTTATATAACAGAAACAATCAGTGATGTGCCTGTAGACAGGGGCGGATGGGCCGGCAGGGATTTTGGGAAGTTTCCCGAAGGGCCGCTTACTTCCGGGCCGGTCCAAGCATATATATGGAAAAATAAAATCCTTCACCTTTAAAAACTATTTTTTATCAAGAAATTCAGTCATACTCTTTCACTGGGAAATAAAATAATATTTAGGGCATTTTTCTGCTAGCCCCTAGTGATGACTCAAGGTGAGCGCGCATTTGTACGTATCGGTCGCAACGAACGTATCTATCTACTGCTTCTATGCCCGGCCTTAATGTTACTCTAGGTGGCCAGTTTTACTACTAGGCGGCCGAACACTCTAGGTGGCCAGTTTTACTACTAGGCGGCCGCCTAGGTTCCGGACGCTCAATGGAGCCCGAAATTCACTCTGAAATTAAATCCCTTTTGGCAACCTTGCACCCTGAGACGCACCATACCACCCGAATTATGCACACTATTGGCAACACTGTTCGGTACGTAGCTGTGGGATTCCCAACTCAGGGGCCTTATTCTGTAAAAAACGAAGCGTTCGATTCGGTAGAATTTCTTCGATTGTGACGTCATTTTCGGTTTGCTAGCACGGAAGCTATTCCGAAAATGCTGAAAATGACGTCACAATCGAAGAAATTCTACCGAATCGAACGGTTCGTTCTTTACAGAATGAGGCCCCAGGTAGAGTCCACACTCAACTTAATGTCATGTTACGGATGAACATCCGTTAGAAGAGTAATAGATGATACGAGATGATCAGATACCCAGACAGCACACAAAGTCCTTAAGACGTCTTTTCAGGTCTACGTAACGTCTGAACGTCTGAAGACTAAAAAAAGACGCCAAGAAGATATTGTTTTGAAAATGTCCATAAAATGTCATAAATTCATATCTTAATGACAACTATTTGGTACAACGAAGCCTAAAAGTGAATAATGGTTTATGTATTGAAAAGAGAATCCAAGACGTCTTTGAGATATCTCGGAGAAGTCTTTAGAATATCTCAGTCCTGAAAACGCCTTTAGGCAGATGTCTGAAAGACGCTGGGTTTTGTAACATTACGACGCGATGTCTTCAAAATGTCTTTGAGACGCCTTAAAGACGTAAGCAAGACGTGTTGAATGTCGTTTGTGGACATCTTAGGAACGTCTTTAAGATGTCTAGAAAAATTCCCCACAGAATTCGTTTCTCATTCAATTTAGAAGTTACTAGAAACCATTCAAAATGCTACAGAACACTTTAGAACTTTAATTGGTCTTTTGGAAAGTTCAAAAGACAAAATTCAAATCAGAATTTCCAAAAGCATTCTGTAGCGCTTCAGAAAATTTTGGAAAATTCAGAACCATTTTCGAATGTCCCAATAAAACATTCATTTTACAATTTCCAAAAGTATTTTAGAATAACCAAGTTTGAAACCCATTTTAGGTCGTTCCAAAACACTCAAACACTCTAGAATCCCCAGAAACATTTTGAAAAGCGCGAGAATCTTAGGATTCGGGTTAAAAGTTACGAAACGCCTTTCAGAAAGCTTTTAAGAGGACATTTGGATTGCCGTAGAACTTTAGACCTCTGATAAGCATTAAAAATATTCAAATTTAAATCAGATTTTTCAGGAGCATTTTGGAATAATTGAGAACCTCTGAGTTATTTTAGAACAATTTCAAAGTTCTAAATTGAGTCCTAATTTAGAACTGGAAACCTTTTAGAACATTTTTGAACCAATTTAGGACACTTTAGAGCTTCAATAGGGCTCTAGAATACTTAGAAATCTGTCAGAACAATTTAGAAATTACTGCAAAATTTCTAGAATGCTCCAGAATTCTTCAAACCAAGCCAAACTTAGTTTTAGAAAAATACATAAAATGGTTTTAAAATACTGATCTCGCAGGGCCGGTGCCAACGGTTTCCCGGGCCGGGGAGCCCGCCCCTGCCTGTAGACAATGTCAACGTAAACAATTGATTGTCTACGCGTAGACAATTCGAATTGTTTACGTGAGCATTTGTCTACACATTGTCTACATGCGGCGTAAACAATAACTTATTTTAAAAAATTCGAAAAAAAATATCAAAAGTTACTATAATATCACTATCACTTCGATACAAGCATTCAGTGATTATAAAATATCAGAAAAACCAATAAAAAAATAAAAATAAATTAAAAAAAAGGAAAGTGTGAGGTTAGAATTAAACGTCATTTATATTATTTTACATTGTTGACACGTTGTCTACATTGTCTACACGTAAAGTAGACAATGAAAGTCTACGTGTAGACGCACATCCCTGGAAACAATACATAAAATGAATAATATTCTGTAGAAAATTGAAAACTTCCAGAAACAATGCCGGGGGCCAAATGCAAACTTGCTTTGTTGTAAGTTGATCATAGATGTCGCCTACTTCGGGGCCTTTCGCGAATAGCTAAAAACTAGAATGCGCACACATTAGTTGTATTCCTTTCACACCTAGGAGGAGCTCCGGAACAGCTTCGGGGCTTCACGCGCTTATTCCTTTCGAAAAGTGTTTGTTGCATCACGCATATGTTCCCTGCAAATCGGGGGCGACTAAGCACCGAAGCGAGTAGCTCGAGTGTTTCAAGCTCTTGAAAGGAATACAACTATTGCCATATCTGCCATAAAAATGGAGCCATGAAAGACAGATGCCACAAGGGGGAATGTTGTTTTTTTCTGTTGTTCGCTGACATATGACTTTTTCGAAAGTTTTGTCATATTTCCCTTCACAGGTTTCATCAATTGGAATACGTGTTGGAAGCGATTTTTCCCATTTAACATAATGAGTGCGACAAAAACAGGTATCCCCTCCGCAGCAGCCGCACTAGGCTTCACGTTCGTCCTTATGTGTTCGCATTCCAGTTTTTGGTTATAGTTCATTGTCCACTGACCACCACTGATCCAAGCCACTGGTCCAGTTTTCAAAAAGATTATGGTTATGCTGAGAACTTGCTAGGATCCGAAGAAAACAGAAATATATAAAATAATCTGCAATGTAATTCGAAATAAAAACACAAATTGTATTCAATTTGCTAGTAGAACCCACTGCCACTGATGCAAATTCATGCGAATCTAAAATTTTGTGGTTTCAATTAAATAAATAAATGTAGTTAAGATCCGTAAGCTACGCCAATGGTAAAGAATGTCGCCTTGTCACCCGAGACCCAGTTTTGCCAACAGCAAAAAAAATAATAAAAATTTTAAAATTTATTAAAACCAAATCCAACGTAACAGCAACTAAAATCTATTTGAAATCAAACAGCAAAAATCAATTGAATAATTGATAATTTTTTAAAATAATATTTCGCTTTAAAACAAAAAAATTATCAACCATTTAATTTTCTTTGTGTTGGTAACGTATGGAATTTGACACTGTGTAAAATGGCTGACATCTAAATATTGAGGAGTTTTCTTTGTTTTCAGTTTAATTTTTCTTTATTTAATCACGTTAAAAATGGACTGTGTTTAATTTATAGTGAACTCTCAATTAATAAGCATCATCTCGTAGTGATAACTAGTGCCTTAGTGACTCGGATTCAAGTGAAATAAAGTACAATTTCCAAGGTTTGACACCAAAAATCTGTCAATCTTCTCCTGACTAGCAGATTCTTAATTTATTTTCACATTTCCAGAGGTAATTAACATTGCCAGAGTACGAATATATATAGCAGTGATGAGATTATTATCCTGTAATAATAGTCTATAATCGTTAAATGGCATTTGGTCGATTTTTTCCATTGATAAACAGACTGGAATGCGAGCATTAAATTTGATATTATTGGTAGCTGTCAAGCTAATATGCCTCAAGCAATAAAGAATTTCAAATATTTGGTAATATAATCCTAGTGCAAAGCTTTTTTATCCTTATTTTAAAACCCCCCTTCTAAAAATTCTTTAACTTGTTGATTTGTAGGTATGTATTTTTTTTGTTTGTCAATGGAATGCTCATTTCTGCCTTAATGTATGCCCACATAGGAAATGACTTATTGCTAAAGTATTTTCTTATCTGCTTTTTGCATAGTTTTCTTCTGATATATTTTAAATAATGCAGGATGTTTTAGGAACAGTTGATAAAACATTTCATTTGCCACCCAAGTCAGACTTGTGACCTTGCAAACCTTCCTCTAGTTTCAAATTCAAATTATCAAGAAATTTTATTATTTCTATCAACTATTTAAATGATAACACTTAGCTGACACAGGAATTTTTAGCATTTATGATATGAAGTGGTAAGTGGATACTTGGTAGACTTATCATCTTTCATTGTAAATTTTCAGAAACTAATGATACCTACTTGCTAGTACTCCCTTATTTTGTTTATCACAAATCAAGATGCAGTAGACAAAAATATTGTTTTATAATTACCACAAAGGGTTCAGGTTATACCTCGGGTTATACATAATCTGACACTTTTTTGTTGGTACTTATTTCAAGTCTTTTTTCTTATATATAGAAACATTGCAAATTGCAAATTACTCCTAGGGTAAAGAGTCATAACATCGATTCCCTGAATTTTGCATTTTCTTCAAAAAAGAAACACAATTTTTACCAAGTGGTGAAGGTATTTTTAAATAATACAATGTTAAGGGCCAAATTATGGACCAACTGGTAAGTGTCTGGTTGTTACCTAGCAGGTACATTTTATTCACTAGTGCAGAGAAAGTACCTGCTAGGTAACAACCAGACGTTCACCAATAAGTCCATAATTTGGCCCTAAATGCAATGACTAGGAACAAAATAATGGAGTATTGGTAAAATATACCAGGAAAGAGTTTAGAATGCAGGAAGTGATACCCTTGTACATAACCTATATAAATTTATTCAAGTTATGTTGCCAGATTTTTTCATTTCTCCTAAAACTCTATTCTATGATCAAAATTTCTGCTATTCCTTATTTACTCATAACAATTGGCTTATGAACCGGGATAAGGTAACTCTTTTTTGAATATACAAATTTCTCCATTCAGTTCGGCTCATGCCAATTTTTTGAATGAATTAAATCTTGTTTGTTGTTGTTTGGTAATGATGACTCCTAAAAACCCACACATCTATCTTCCTGATTTTATGGGCTAGGCTGTCTCATTTTTACTGTCCAATAAATTTAGGTGTGTTCAATAATGTCGCCAATGATTTTTCGTATGGGTTTTAACTTTTCAAAATCTTGTAAATCCTTACAAATGTTTTTTTGAAGTCTTTAAATCGCATTAAACATCTTATTTTTTTCGATTGTTCCCTTTATTCTCCAAAGATCCCATAAAATCTTGGAAAATCCCATACTTAATTATATTCTATAAATTACATAAAATCTCTAAAAATCCATTAAAATCTTTATCACTTCCTGCTCTACTACCCTGGCATACACCTATTGTGATTTATAAATTAGTTTCTTGTGTCAGTATTTTCCACATTTCGCGTGATTAAGAATAGTTCTCAACTTGAAATTGAATATTAGGTCGAGTATTAGGTACTGCTTATAAGATATTGTGCAATCTCTTATCAAGAAACTCGTCAAGAAAGCTATGATCAAGAAAACTTTGCTTTATTTCAAGTTTCTGCAAGAGACTTTTTAGAATTTGAGCCTCAGAGTGGGAAGTTCAATTTTCCATAAGCTTATTTGAATTGAATAAAGATACAATATTACCTATTATATGCCTGCCTAAGTACTTGAAGCTCAACTTGAAGACTTGTTCAGACTAGTTGAAATAGCATGACAATCTCTGAAAATCCTTAAAGGTACCTACTCTTTCCAAAACAAAAAGGATGAAATCCCTATTTTTGTTGAGTTTTCTGATAGATAGATAGATAGATAATCGTTTATTTATTCCAATAGCACTTACAGTTAAACGTACCAGTCTGGTAAGTGAACATCTTACAGGCCAATTTTAATGCAATAAAACTACATGTCTAGAAAAAGTCTAAGGTTAAATAGAGAACGAAAACGATTTTCCCTGTTCCACCTCCAGCATTCCCAGCTCCCCATGCTGGAGGTGGAACAGGGGAAATCGGTTTCATTCTCTATTTACCCTTAGACTTTTTCTAGGCATTTCATTCTATTGCATTAAAATTGGCCTGTAAGACGTTGACTTGCCGGACCTGTATAAGATGTTTCATTGTAGCCCAAAAGGCGTGGAACATTGTTGAAAAAGATAGTACTCAATTCAAAATAATTTTTTTTTCACTTGTATATATAATTATTATACGTTAATTAAAACTAATTCATTACGTAAATTTGAAAGGCATACATAACAAAATGAACACTAAATAAGATTTTGTATATTGACAATTTTTTGCAATTTGTGCAGCCAAGCCAAATCAACAAAATCGAATTCCAGCTCCTCAGGCAATGATTCACCAGATTCTAATGTAAATTCAGGTTATCACCATCATTGAAATAATTATTCAATGGATAAAATGTTTTCTTCTCGGTTTTCTCTATTAAAGGAGGTGTGATCCTTAAAAACGACTTGGGCTAATTAAACCAAGAAAAAAAATCTAAGATCTCAAGTGAAAACCACAGTCCTATATTCAAAATAGTTTTCAAGAAAATTCCTTGTGAAGATAAATTATGCAGGAACTTGTTACTTCACAACCGCTGAAATCGCAGTCTTCTGTTCATTCAGTCGTCAGTGAACCGTACCCTATACTTGAGTGGTTGCAATTCGCTCTAGTGAGATAATTGTCTTTTGTTTTGGAAGATTCTTACACGTGTTAATATACTGTGCCTGATATTTCGGTGTGACGTCACAAACTCCTAGTTGTAACTTTCAACCGCCCTAACTCAAAAACTGACCATCGTAGCAAGATGCGGTTCAAATACTTATTCTTAGATTTTTTTGTACTATAATTTTCATTTTTGGGTCACACCCCCTTTTTATGACTATATTTTCTTTGGCCCTGACACCTGCCATACTATGGATACTCTTCGGGAAACGGTTGTAGATTTTAATAATAGTGTAATGCACATTTTCAATCAATCAATCAATCAAAATAGCTTTATTGATATAAGAAAAAAATCAATCTCATTATCAAAGCAACCTCAAACTAGCAAAAAAGTAAATACACGATTTTAAATTAAAAATTCTTAAATTGAACCTCGAATTGAATAAAACATTGAAATTAACAACATAAGAAGTACAGACAAGTTAACTACTTACACAATGTACAACCATAAAATATGATGTAATAAAATGATGAGAACAATGAATAAAATTTAAGATGAAAAATTTATCAAAATTCAAAAATAAACAAAGACTGAAAAACAATAATAAAATACAAGATAAGTAAACCAGTAAATGGTCTAAAATTGGTCATTGGTCCTCAAAATATTTTGTCACACTATAGTAGGCTTTCTTTAATAATAGCTCCTTTACAGCCAATTTAAATCTTTTTAGGGATTCTAGGAATCTTATGCTAATAGGCAAATGTTATATATTTTTTTTACCAGTGTAAAACAAAGAATTCCTCACAAGTGCAGTATGAGGTATAGATAAAGGTATAGTGTCTATTTGACGCGTATTATAATGAAACGCACTCGTCTCTCCTCCAAAAAAATATACCTGTCAGAGTTAGAATGTTATTTTGAATAAACAAGGGTTTACAAGACTCCCTAGCCCCAATCCCGCACATATACTTGACAGCCCTTTTCTGCAGAACAAAAACAGAATTTATCAGGAAATGACTCGAATTACCCCATTACCCCAAAAGAATGTCTGGACACACTCCATTCCAACCGTTTGTCAATTTTTGAACCAAGGAAAGCCACATTATCAGATATTTCAATTTCCACGTTTTTGTAAGAAAAGATGTACTTTGTGTTTTCGTGATTACCAAAGACTACAACCTGACTCTTTAGCACATTCAAAAGAAGATTAAAGTCTATAATAGGCAGGGTTGGATGAACTTTTGGAAGTTGGCCGGGAAATTTTAGTCTAGCGGCCCATACATTGATGGATTTATGGGGCACATACCCACACTTATCAAATCAAATCAAATAAGCTTTATTGCCAAAAAAACAAATAATGTCATAGACAAAGCAGGCCTTAAACCTAATAAAACAATTAAAATTATTCATTATCTATCTATTATAAAAAGGATAAAAATTTCAAAAAATGATCCTCAACAATCGGAACCAACACAAAGAATTGTAAAAACTGAGGCAAAAACAAACAAAAAATAAAAATAAAACTTAGGAGTCGTCACGGACGTCAACTACCTATCACTCACATAATTATGTCACACAAATTAAATTAAAATGTCATAAAAAGACGGTAAAAAATATATATATATATATATATTAGATGTGATCTAATAATATAATAACGACAGTGAAAAAACAATAAAATGCTGAATGAAAATGCAGAATGGAAAATTTAAAAATAACTCTTATCTTTTTTTTATTTCAAAGATAATTTCAAACAATCAAAATGACATTTTTTTCTTTAATGGGGGGCTTAAGTTGAACATTTCCATAAGAATCTTCTCAAAAGTCAACAATCCTAAGATTTCGTTATGTAAATTCACTATCGTCAACGCATCCAAAATTTCCATTATTCCATTGTAAGTCGATTGATTCCTTAACCGATTTTTTATGTCTTCAAGTGTTGAAAAGCATTTTTCGCGCCTGTGAACACGCTA